TGAGACGTGATAGCAGGCAGTATCCTGTTCTTCTCATCGGTCCATCTAGCTGTCTCTGTTTCCTCGCTCATCTTGCTCTCCAACCGCTTGCAATCAGCTCAGCAAGAGATAAAGGCGCCTTGAGGCCCTGTGGTGGACAGAACGCAAAGTCCAGCAACCCTATTATCGCCATTTTGTCGAGATGGAAACTGCAGAACCAGTGTCATACGAATTTCCCGGTCATGCCGTTGGGGCGGTTGCGCCTCGTCCAATGATGGGCTCGAATGTCGGCCACAACTTTCCCTTTTATACCAATCCGACTGGTGGCTATACGCTTCCATTCCATCAATCTTCGTCCCCTGCGTATAGCTTCGGACACACACTCAACCACCACCATCATCACCACCACCATCATCCGGGCTACCAGCATTATTTCGTCGCCGGCCAGCAACCGATCAACCCCCAGCCGGTCCGTCTATCCTCTGAGCCACCATCCATCCAGCAAATTCCCGATATTCGGCCGGCCAAAAATGCCGTTAACCGGGTAGCCAGGGATCCTCTAATGAAGATCGAGCACAACGGGGGCTCACAACAACCTCCTGGAGCCCAGTCCTCGAGTAACGAAGGAGGTGCACAGGGGAAGAGCTCCAGCTCCAACGAGGTTGAGTTCTCCACGGAAGTAGATATCTTGATGAAGGCAATTCAGGCCAAAGCCAGTGCTCAGTCACCAGGAGTGCAGTCTCTGCCACCACTGCAACAGTTGACACACGGGGGAAGCACCGGATACCCGCAGAGTTATACGATGCCAGTGACGACCCCAAGGTGCACTGTTGTGGTCGAAGAGGCTCCATCGAGATCAGGCAAAAAGCGCAAGTATGCCTGCACTTTACCACAGTGCGGCAAGAGCTTCGCGCAGAAGACGCATCTGGATATTCATATGCGGGCTCACACGGGGGACAAGCCCTTTGTAGGTGGCATGAGAATCGAGAATTTTTGAGATATGACACTAATATTTTACGAAAAGGTGTGCAAAGAGCCCTCATGCGGACAGCGCTTCTCTCAGTTGGGTAATCTGAAGGTAAGTCATGGGATGTTCCCCAAGATAGTTTCCTATAAAGGGAGCTTCAACACCATCGAAGATATTGCAGATTTTCTAACGGAAACAATTGGTAATTAGACTCATCAACGACGCCATACTGGGGAAAAGCCATTTTCCTGTGATATATGTCAGAAACGATTCGCTCAACGAGGCAACGTTCGTGCTCATAAGATCACACATCAACATGCCAAACCATTCACTTGTCTCCTGGATGACTGCGGAAAGCAATTTACCCAGCTTGGAAACCTCAAGGTGCGGAGACCAATAATCTTCAACCCTGAAACACCTTCAATAGTAGCTGACTAGTATAACAGTCACACCAGAACAAGTTCCATGCCACAACCCTACGAAATCTTACTTTAAAATTCTCACAAGTGACAGAGGGAGATCACATGAGCCCACAAGACAGGAAGCTCTGGGAATACTTTGCTACATTGTACAAGAACAGCAACAAAGGAATCAAGGGGCGCGGGAAAGATCGCAGGATCTCGCCTACTTCACGGTCTGATCCGGGCTCCGACTCCCGCAGAAGGATCCAGCCTCTCAGCAGCAATGATGACAAGATGCGCCGAGCAAGCTATGAAGATACATCTATGTATAACGGGGGTTCTAGCAGCGATGATGACGACGCAGAACCTTATTATATTGAGAGGCAGGCTCATTGACATACCATACCGGCTTTCACATTTTTAGAATCTTGTCGCATCATTTACATTGCCCTCATTTGTTACTACGATACCAGTCTCGTTCGTGTTTATTTCATTTTGTCTCATATAACCCGCATATCATGTTGAATATGATGTTCGCCTGGTATAGGGCTTTCCCAGATGTTTCGTTCGGCCTGAAGACACTTCTTATGTACATCAGCGTGGTTTCCCCTTTTCTTTTCTTTCTTTTCTGGACATATATACCTGTGGCGGGTAAAGCCCGTTTAGTACGTTCTGGTTCTCAACATGTTGATATATATGATTATATTACAACCCCTACAACCCCTACAACTCCAAATATAATACATGCCAATTTCTGGCAAATAGACATTATTGATTGCAGGCGACAGGAGCCTTAACGCATATATATACACAAAGATCATATAAGGTACAAGGTACAACCTGCACACGAGCCGGCGGATGCGAGATCTGAGCAGCTGTGACATATGTCCGATAGGTAGACGCAGTTGCCTCCGCTTTCCGCGCGGATAAGGCAACAAATTCCTCTCTATCAAAGATTGGATAATAACCCTGGTAGGTACGCTCTGGTATTTTCATACACCAGGAAAGTGACCCACGTACTGGGCAACACGCGCAGCAAATTGGGGCCAAGGCCCTTGTAGAAGCCAGTGATACCTTCTCTGGCCCAAATCTGAGCAACGGCATCCCTGACGCCCGAATACACGAGGTGAGCATCGTATGTCTGCAAGCGAGACCGCAACACCTGATACGGATAGGTAACACACCCGGCGAACAGTTTCGACAAGCTGGAGATCACGAATAAGTCTACATTTCCCAGCTCCCGTATCCCCGACCGGGCCGCGTCCGATGACAGCGACGACACATGACTCGAACCAGCATCTCGTTGAAGGCCAGTTGTTCCGGCCGGAGGAGCCATGCGGGAGCGATACAATTTCAATTGCTCGTACGCCATGAATTGAAGTGCGCCATGGCTGACTCCAAACAGAGCTGGAACCAGGCCCCGATAGAAGCCCGCAATACCCTCCGAGCGAAGAATCTCCTTCGCTCCCGTTGTGAACGACGCGTATGCTCCGGGGCTCTGGGATCCTGTTGATAGCATGCGGGTTTTTATCACCCAGATCGGATTGGTTAGCGCGGACGTCAACATCCCTGTGAGAATCATAATTCCGCAAATTAGCCTCATCTGCCGTTTCAGAACTGCCTGATCGGTGCTTTCTTGGGGGGAAAAGCAATCGCAGGTCTGTTTCCTTTTTGCTTCTGGAGCGTACCTGCAGATCCTGAGGCTAGGAAGTAGTCGGCCGAGGTGAGGGCCTGGTCTTCAGAACCACTGCGCCAGGTGCGCATTACATCCTTGATGTTGCCGTAGCACAAGAAGTACAGCGCCCAACTTGTGGAATTCCCAACTATGTTGGGTGTCAGACCTCTGTAGAAGGCTTTGATGCCGCCCTCATTCTGGAAGATCTCGCGGATTACTGGGACTGAACCGCCGACACGCGAAGAGGATAATCGGTCGACTAGAAGATATAGCAGATTGATACTACGTCAGCCATAGCTTCAATACTGATTTGACATTCGTGATTGATTCGCGCTCCACGTCTTGTCTTTTTTCCCGGAGAGATGAAACACTAACCTTGAAGCCGAGTCTTGATCAGATCTAGCGGATGCAGGCAGAGCGTCGAAGCGATTCCGGCCGTGAATCCCGCTACGGTCTCCACAAAGGACGAGGACAAGCCATCCTTGCCAGTCATTAACCCTTCAAGTCCTCCTGGAATGTGCCGCTTGCAGGGGTTTGAGATTCTAGCCGGAAGTGTCGGGAGGATTGGAGAAGTCCGGATTCGGTCCGGAATTCTTTTGGCCAAAGATTTGAGCTGGAGCTAAGAGTCGAGTTCAATTGCGCTTGGCGGGCCGAAGCGCCCCAAATGTCCGAGGGAAACAACCGGATACTTCTGAAGAGACATTTCCTACGACTATCACTACAAGAAACAAGATCATATATATCCTAGTCTTTGGATCTGGAGTCTGCTTCAAAGTGCATCAGTTGAGCTTACGCAAGTCTTTATAAATGTAGTGTTCCGGAAACCCTTTGCATGTATCCTCGGTCCTGCCCTGGACCTGTATATGAAATTAAAACATTCGCGTTAACCAATACAAAGCATGAAAACTGATCGTAGTTTAAAAGTACATGTGCGTCGATGTAGACTTCAAGTTGTCAACATCGACCCGAGGGGTTGAGGTGGAAGAGGTTTCTCAGAATCTGCTAGTATTCCGACAGGCAGTCTTATTTGTCTGTCTAATTGCAGAGTGAGACTTCAGGCGTTGCATGTGTCTGGTGGATGGACATTCATCGTTTCCGTATTCTGAAGCAACTCATTCCTCTAGGCGAGAGGCGAGAACAGCCTATATGTAGCGTTAGTGGGTTGGAATCGTCGGGGAGCGTCGGTAGGGCGCAGTCGCTCATACTTGAACAGAGAAGGCTTGGGTTCACTGTAAGTGTAACCTATTCCATAATCGTTAGCAACGAAACTTCCATCATAAAGGCCCCGGACGGGTCCATAGAATAATTATTCCATCACACGTACCGAGATAGACAATCAACGGCAGGTATCCACTTATGCAAACATAACCGTCAGCTTTGGTCAGGACACATTAGTCGAAAGGATCAAGATGCGACGAACTAGTGAATGGCAACTCTGGAGACGTCAATGACCTTGGAGATACGCTCCTAGATAAAAGGCATATCCGTTAGCATACCGAGATCAAGCGTGACAAGTTATGTAGGACGTGCAACAGAGCACCGCAGACTAACCTTGGTTTCCTCGGAGAACTGAACCATATTGCCGGCTTAAACTTGCACGAAGGCTGTGATAATAAACACGAGAATTTCCCTGCTGTTGATGTCCGTAAACTTGAGATTGGGAAAGGCGGAAGGGTTGACGGAGTGACGGAGTGACGGGAAAGACGGGGGAGGTGAAGCTCAAAGTTTTCCGGGGCTAAAGTTGGATCAGTAAAAGCTCCGCCGATAACCTGGAGTCCGAGTCTCCAGCGATCATCCTTCCAGCCCTTGTTCTCCCAGTACCTTCATTTGACCTCTCAACATATCCTGACTACCCAATTCTTTCATATCAATTTGTAGTCTCCTTCTAACTGATTCAAACGCCTCTTCCATCTTTCTGTTCCTGTTCATTCGCTTTCATCCAGTCGAGGGGGCTCTTCAAGAGTAATACCTAGGCGCTATGTCCGGCGCAAGGCATTGGTAAGTGCTTCTCCTCACTCCATCTGGATATACATTCTCATAATGCCGGTACTTACAATTGTTGGAATAGGGAGCAAGACAAAGAGGCCACCGTCTACATCGGAAACCTCGATGAACGGGTCACAGATAGCCTGGTATGGGAGCTGATGCTGCAGGCCGGGCGCATCGTTAACGTTCACCTACCGAAAGATCGAGTCACACAGTCGCATCAAGGCTACGGATTCGTGGAATTCATCAGCGAGGAAGATGCTGAATACGCGTCGCGAATCATGAACGGAATCCGCTTGTATGGAAAGCCCATCCGCGTCAACAAAGCATCGGCCGACAAGCAAAAGTCGGTGGAGATTGGAGCAGAGCTATTCGTCGGCAATCTTGATCCCATGGTTACGGAACAAGTTCTTTATGATACGTTCAGCCGCTTTGGAAACTTGGTCAATATTCCCAAGGTAGGATCTCTTCGTCCCTGCTATAGGAGTGCCATGCGGCACCGTGGCTTTCGAGTATTTTACTAACAATTGCTGCTACATAGATTGCGCGAGATGATAACAATCTGTCAAAGGGCTATGGATTTGTGTCTTTCGCCGACTTCGAGTCTTCAGACGCGGCCATAACCAACATGAACGGCCAATATCTTATGAACAAGCAGGTCTCCGTGCAATACGCCTATAAGAAGGATGGGAAAGGTGAACGCCACGGTGATGAAGCAGAACGAATGCTGGCAGCACAGGCTCGCAAACATAACGTGCGCCCGCCAACCCAGCCGCTACCTCCTCAATTCTCCAACCCAGGGACACCTATGGTGCCTGCTGCGATGGCCAATGGTGACAGCTCTCGGCCAATGAGTACTAATCCACCGGACCTTAATATGGGCAGAGGCATGGCTCCTCCGAATGTACCGTTCCAAAACGTACCTCCTCCACAAGCAAGCCGACCTGTTCCACCTCCTGCTTCTCTGGCGAACCCACCCCCCGGTTTACCAGCACGGCCGCCGCCTTCTCAGGCCGGATATGGGGGGCCGCAGGCTTTCCTCCCACCGGGATTCAATGGTGCTGGTCAACAACCTCCCTTCCCTCAAGCAGCACCTCCGCCAGGCTTCGCTCCCCCAGGGTTCGGTTCACCGGCAGGAACTCCTGGTCCTCCACCTCCGTTGCCCCCGGGATTCCAGCAACCTGGCTATGGGCGCGGGCGCTGAGCATCCTAGGTCAACTACCTTGATTTGAACCGAAGACTAGGTGGTACTTTAAAAGAACAATTCCATCATTGTCAACCATTACTTGGATCGTCGGATGATAAATACTCGACTTGATGTAACGACCCACAACCGAGTAGCTGTTATGTCCTACGGAAGAATACAAACCGCGCCCGATAATGAACGGCTCAAGATGCCTCAACTTACGGGATAAAACTGACATATCCGCTTGTTACACATGGCAAGATTGAAATGCCAATCAGCATTAACGTTCAACAAGGAGGAATGTGTCTGAATAATCAAACCTGATGTCCACAGTTCTCGATATCTCATTTATGCTGAGTGGTAGCAATGAATACAAAAATTGAAACACTACAGCATTTCAGATGCCCATGTATGATAACTGAGAGTTAGTTGCCAGCAGTGATCCACGAAGTCATAAATTAGAGTTGACACAAGATATCAAGTCAATCTTCAAGCAGGGAGGCCAACACTATATTTCGACGGCAATAGTAAACATACTCTACACGCTGCAAAGGAGTCTTGAAATCATTCAGTAAAGGGAAGGGTATAAGTAGAGGAGAGTCTGCTGGTGAGAAGCATATGTCGAAGGAAAACAGGAAGAAGAACGAGGGCAAAGTGAAACCAAGCGACTGTGATGCAAATGTCATCAAGAGAACGACACGAACTTTGGGTCCCTAGGTCGGCCATCGGGACCGATATTGTTCTTGGAAAAGCGCTGCTCCATGTAGATCCGGCGACCTTCGTTGAAATCCACTCTTCGCCGTTTCATGATCCGTAAGATTTCGCGTTTGGCCTGATCATCCAAGCCCGCCCTGGTGTCACCCTCGGCAACATTGGCGGAGATATCAAACTCGGATGAGACCAGACCAGCTTCCACATCGCCAGCAAACGTCGAGGGGAGGCGATCGTAAATGTAGTCGGGAACGGGCAGTAGATGTAGCCATCGGGACCGGGTGAGGTAGAGCGCTAAAGGCAGGTCAGGAAGGAAGGCTTGGACGACTTGCAAGATTGAGGAGCTGGAAGCTTTGCATACCTGTGCCACACACAACAACCGATATGGTGAGGAAGTAGAGAAGGTAGTAAGCCATGGTCAATGAGGGTTACCAGGCGCTGCTAAACCGCAGCGGGGATTAGGCTAGATGTGTAGATGAAAGCGTAGCGCGGCGGGGATTCAGGCTTCAATTCCCCTAAAGCGACAGGAATAAGACCATTCACAGGGGTAAGCGATATACAGTATTCGAGTCTGGCCGGCGTCTTGCCAGAGCCTGCTACTTAGGAGGCATTTAGACAACAATGATAGACAGTCGGGTCATACGTAAGTGTACGCATATGGAAGAGCGCGGAAGGTGTAAGTGGGTCAAGGGCGCGGACGCGGCTGGAACGACAGGCGGCGGCCCCCGTTCTCAGGCAGCACTCACGGGCATGTAACGAACCGCCTTGAAAATGGGTCTATTCCTAAAGCGGCCCGCTTAGCGAGGCTCTCAGCGTTGGAATTCTTGGCGCTGGCACACACAACTGAAACCTTCTAAGGGCTAGATATTAAGTCGTAGCTGGTATATACCGAACGGACTTGCGACGATTTGGAACTGTCCTCATCCCCCACCCAAGCTTCGAAAGAGACATTCACAATGGCCGCCAACGTTTCCAGCGACCTCATCTGGCAGCTCACCCGTACGTCACTAGCACCTTCCTACGCATATTTTATCCCAATGGAAACCCTAGGAGCCGTTTCGCGCCTCGTCTTCTCCGGCTAATGTTACGACTACCTCAACAGGCACCCAGAATGCTTATCTGGTCAAGCGTAACAGCGGCGGTGGTTCTCAGTTCTCCCGTGACCCCCTGAACCTGCAGAACAAGCACTCTTTCAAGGTACGGACCCTGGACATAAGGTCTGGGTTATGTTTTCGTGCTAATGTCGAATCACCTGTTTAGTACGCCGGCTATGCCAACACCAAGGTACTTTACCCGCGCTTCATGTCATAAGGATTTTTTCCGTTCGGGATTGGATGTTTAACGCTGCAATACACAGGCGGTTGGTGTCCAGGCCACCGAGAACGGCGGTGTTGCTGTCATCACCAAGAAGCCCAGCAACCCCCAGCAGCCTGCCAAGAACGTCGTTACCGTGACCTACGGCCCTAACGCCTCCACCCGCAAGTAAGTTGATATGAGCAGTTGGCGTTCTATGATGTCCGTGAGGGAGGCGCGACAGTTTGCTGATACTGCTCTCGCATAGGATCTACAAGGGTGTTGCCGACAAGACTGCCAAGAACGGTTACCGTGCTGATGTCCGTGAGGACGCCGTCGCCCGTGTCAGCGCCGTCCGTCGCTCCCAGAAGGCCAAGAAGGAGACTCCCGCCCAGAAGCCCCGTGGTGCTAAGGCCAGAAAGGCCGAGGAGAAGTCGGAGTAAATGCCAACTATCTCTTTTCCGGGAAGGGCCAGGAGGCATGATGTCATGAGAGCTGGTCGGAATGATCGACCAGAAAAGCGCCGTGCTGGCCAAGGGCGGTAACATCTATGTAATTTAGCAATACTGCTACCAGGGGGGCATTGTTCTCCGGCCAGGCCATTCAGAATGGAAACCAAAAAAAATCTTGGGAAATTCAACAACAACAAAATGAATGGGGAAATGGAAGAATTGCCATCTTCAATTGTGAACACAAGTGGTAACAATCGGACTGACGGGAAAACAATCAGCCTTCCGCTTGCAACTGCCTGTGATGTCCCCTGGCCATATTTTGGTAGGCTGTTTATTGCCGCCTGTCGGGCCGAAGTAGAATGTAGAACCGATGTCGTAAGCACGTATCTAACCGCAAAGTTACCGTGAGACAACTTTGATATCCGCCTTTTCCCGAAACCTTGATGGAATCCCCGGTCAAACCGGTATATTCCTTCGCATGTGGACTCTGGAACGAAGGAGTCGACGAGAATTGCCGGAATCTGGGGCGGCGTGTTATGGGGGAGGACTACATCCGAGGGATGAATCTGAACGACTCCAGAAGTGACTAAGCAACCGTGAACCGGAAGCAACAATCCAGCTCTCAAGGCAAAGATAGAATGTCCGGGACTACGGAGGAAAGATTTGGCGTGTGCCTGATGACTTTTGTTCCACATGGGCCCGGGGAAGGTTTGTAATGGTAGTAATGAGGTGCTTTGGCCTTGATTAAGCACAAGTCAGCTTTGCGGGAACTACATGCTTGATGGTGAAGTATATCATGTACTGGATGGAGCATAATTAGGGGATGGGTTCCGTAGAAATGTGTAACAAAATCCACTCGACTTGATGCCCGCTGGGGTGTATGTAACTATGTCGGGTGAGTTGCCGAGTGTACTTACTACTAAAGGCGACTGGATGTTTGGGGAACAATGCTATTGGGGAGGGGCCCGGGCACCCTTTGGGGGACACCCGCGGATGGGCTGGATCTCGGTCACTGGAGAACATAGCCCAGTGGTCCAGTGGTCTAGTTAGCAAGACAGCTTCATTTGTTAACCCCACATGTGATCCTCCGTCCGGTTTCCGTAGTATATAATGGTCCTGGAGCTTCTCCCTCTGTCGATGCGAATTGAAAATTAATTTGCCCATCAACATATTTCTTATCTATCTATTCATTGTTTCTTGCCCATTATCATCTCTCTCTCTCTCTTTCCTCTTCGGAAGAAAATACTATTAGTAAGTATGATATGAGCCCAGGATTGAGCCAGTGATCCCCCGATCCTTCCTAATCCCTGTGCTGCCACTTGCCCCGACCTGTTCACCGTGACCGTACCACCACCACCACCAGCAGCTGCAGCAACACCACCCCGCCCCCTCCTCAAACTAAACCCCTCCCTTTCCAATTCCACCCCCTCTTCCCCTCCCTCCCCCTGTTCATTCGTTTATTTTTTCTTTTTTTTTATCATCTGGGTGTTCCCCCCTCCTCCCTACTAGTTCCTTCCCAAACTTCTTCTCCTCTTTCACTCTTGAACATCTCTCTCTCCCTTCTGTTTGATACCCACACTAATCTTGCGTGCTCCTCTTCACCTTTGTGTATAGATTTGTCACAGTTACCACAAGAGAAGTTCTCAAAAATCACAATGGTTAAAGCGGGTGAGTGGTTTTCACGGCACCTGCATTTTGACCCCGCTTTTCAAAACGAGAACGACCCCGGACTAAATCCATTTCGACAGCTGTTCTTGGAGCATCTGGTGGCATTGGCCAGGTACGTGCCCCTCATTCGCCCTTACCAGAACTGCAGCCCGCGATGCAGGCCTGTTACCTTCTTTAACTTTTACTGACTGCCCATGTGCTTCTGATTGATTAGCCTCTGTCTCTCCTGCTTAAGACAAGCCCCCTGGTTGACGACCTCGCGCTCTACGATGTTGTGAACACCCCCGGTGTCGCTGCCGACCTTTCTCACATCTCCTCTGTTGCTGTATGTGTGGCCGTGTCACAACCCGCTCCCTATCTCCACAAATCAATCTGGCTTTATTTCTGACATTGTCGATAGAAAATTTCCGGATTCCTGCCTAAGGATGATGGATTGAAGCACGCCTTGACCGGTGCTGACATTGTTGTCATCCCTGCTGGAATTCCCCGTGAGTGAAACCACCTCTCATGTTCCGAGGTGCTTCTGACTGACAAAGTTGCTGTAAATAGGCAAGCCTGGAATGACTCGTGATGATCTGTTCAAGATCAACGCCGGTATTGTGCGCGACCTGGTCAAGGGCATCGCCGAGTACTGCCCCAAGGCGTTTGTTTTGATCATCTCCAACCCTGTCAATTCTACTGTTCCCATCGCCGCAGAGGTCCTCAAGGCCGCTGGCGTCTTTGACCCTAAGCGTCTCTTTGGTGTTACCACTCTGGATGTTGTCCGCGCGGAGACCTTTGTCCAGGAATACTCAGGCCACAAGGACCCATCTGCTGTGCGCATCCCAGTTGTCGGTGGCCACTCGGGAGAGACTATTGTTCCCCTCTTCAGCAAGGCAGCCCCCTCTTTCCAGATCCCCGCAGACAAGTACGATGCGCTCGTCAACCGTAAGTGAACTGCGCAGACTCTTAGCGATTGAAATGTTTACTGAACTATATGCAGGCGTTCAGTTCGGTGGAGATGAGGTTGTCAAGGCCAAGGATGGTGCCGGCTCCGCGACCCTGTCTATGGCCTACGCTGGCTTCAGGTTTGAGTCCCTCATTTACAAACTTTTGGTGTCAGAGCTAACCTCATATTAAGATTCGCTCAGAGCGTTATCAAGGCTTCTCAAGGCCAATCGGGTATCGTCGAGCCTACATTTGTCTATCTGCCTGGTGTCACTGGCGGTGAAGAGATTTCCAAGGCCACCGGCCTGGAGTTCTTCTCTACCCTTGTAGAACTTGGCGTAAGTCATTCATTACGTCATATTTGAATATCGGACATCACTCTGACTAGAAAAAACAGACCAACGGAGCTGAGAAGGCCATCAATGTTCTTGAGGGCGTGACCGAGCAGGAAAAGAAGCTCATCAAGACTTGCACCGAGGGCTTGAAGGGCAACATCGAAAAGGGTATCGAATTCGTCAAGAACCCTCCACCAAAGTAAACGCGCCCACCCCAGTCCCTGAGTCACAGGATTCCCAATCATCAATAGGTGATATGCCAATATCGCACCTCTTTACCACCGGGGAGATATCTTTCGGTGGTTGCATCACAAGTTCACGGACATGGAAGGAGCCCTGCTAATCATTGTTATCCTGGGGAGATAGGCTTTGAATATGTGACTCTGCAGACGAATGGGCGATGGTCGATGGATTGCTCTGACTCAGGATTTATGACTTCGAGATACGAGTGACCTGTTTAAATGATAAAACCTTGTATTCTTCATGCCCGCACTTGAATGTAGGATTACCCAGCAATCCGTCGGGGAGAACTGTAGCTCCAGCAGATATCCCTGGAGTGCTGCATGTGATTGTCATCCAAGCCCTCCTATGATGAACGCATATCGTACAATTGGCGGTCTGAATGAGGTTCAAAGTCGCCAATGTCCGAACGTCTTCAGGGCTTGGGATTGACGGTTTTGATTTGGAAGGTTGCGCCTGGAAGCTCTGTAGATTCCGCTTGAACAGTGGTTGTAATACCGAGGTTTGATAAAGCACCGCGAATAACGCCGCATGGAAACCATAAATACTATATATAATACACCGCAAGTCGTTAGATCATGTACGGCTGACCCTTCGGGAAAAATGTATATTTTGGGACAAACGTACCGCTTGAGCCATAGAAACCGCCTCGCTTCGCACAGATGTACTCATTCTTGCAAATGGTCGAAATGAGTTGTCAGTCAAGACATACACGCCCTGACAGTGCACATATTAGCCTCCCCAAAAAACCAACCAGGGCACTTCAAAGGGATTTGAGAGCGCATTTGGTTCTGCCTACCCGGTGATTCGTTTTCAGGTTATCCACCTGCTTCTTAAATAGTATCGTCCACAAGTCCTTGCACAGAAACTTTATGACATCCAGGTTATCTGCGAATCGTGGGCGATCGCGGGAGAATCTGCTCCGGTGGACAACGGATACGCGTTAGCTGCGGGACTTCGATCAATGGCACACCTGCGAATCTGTCGGTGATCCTGTTTCACTGATGCGCACTCTTGCGGCAGATAGTTGCATAACTTGGACGACCGAAAAGACGTCTCAAACTCAAATCGCGGGGTTTCAAGCGTACCGTTCAGCCAACCCTTGTCCAACCCTGTAACCTAGAGATTCGAGGCGAAAGAATGTAGTTTCCCGGATTTCTTCATCATCTGGTAGCTTATCTTCTGAAGCAAGTTCCTTCGCTAAACGCTCCGCCATAGGGACGAGCTCTATCAGGAGGAAATCAAGGCATGAGGCACCCAGGAGCCGCGCGTGTGGATCTGAAGCATTGAGGGATGAAGCCGGTGCATCCAACGACATTGTAAAAGGTGTTACGGTGGCCACGTTTGTGGGGTAGCCTGATTATTGTAAGGTGGTCTGGATGACTCGAATAAAGTGAACTCGGTGAATTTGTGATAGCAGATAACTGTTGTACCCTGTTGTTTTGCGGAGGTTATGCGGCTCGGAGTAGGCCAGCCAAGCATGGTGACCGCCGACATATCGCAAGCTCCGACGGAGCGGCCCCTATCTACTTACGAAGTACCTTCCAGTCATGCCGACATGCCCCCTTACTCTGATGAATAAGCCGGCATAACGAGTGCTTTCCTTCTACAATGAAGCACTAGGATCCAACGCAGCAAAATTATTTACAACGGAGACTTTTAGAAGGACTCCGCTAATTACGTAGGTTCCCCGTAAGTGACGTTGTGAGACCGATAGATATGGCTGTTTTTTTGTTTTGTTTTTGGTGAAACGAAGATTGGATCTAAATGTTCGTTGGCCATCGAAGTTGAAAGAACATTGTTTCCCTATTATGCTTTGTCCAATGCTCCCAATAGATTCGCGTAGTGGATATACCCATGAAACCGAATGCGCCCAACACCATGCAAGTATGCTTCAATAACTGCGTGCATCATAACCACCGGCATGACTAAGAAAATCAGAACTAGGCTGGCTGGGTAGTTGGATGTCTCCGTTAACATAGCCACCGCTGTAAGGGCTGCAAAAATCCTGCTGAGACGAGGGCCGGTTAATCTGATTAAACGCTGGCCGCTTTACAGGTCTGACCGGAGTGTCATCCTCCTCATCACTTCCTGTAAGGTCGATCACCTGGGCAGCATTACGCTTGTTTGTCGACAAATAAACTGCAGATGACGTTGCTGAGGGTTCTCGGGACTGAGTAGGTGTTTGGTGTACGTAAAGAGATGTAGGTGGGAATGACTCTCGCTTGATTGGCGTAACCCCGGGTTCCCTTATTTCAATCAACTCGTCGTCATCATCTGTCGCCGGAGTAAATCCGCCCACTTTGGCAGAGTCTTCCTGGTTGGGGCTAGACCATTGACCATCTGGCTCTATGATAACTTGTTCGACATCTAGAGATGTTGAACGAAGTATATCATCGACGTACCTATGTAATAAAATGTCACTAACTGCACAAAGATTTTGAGTCAAGAGATTCCGACTTACTGGTCAATCTGCAGCGATTCAAAACTCGTCGCTTTAGAACAGACAGGACACGACCAGGTTGGGGCCTGTTCCTGGAGTTGCAAAAACGAAGATGCGTCAAAACATTGATTGTGCGTGCAAATTACAGAACGACAGGGAACCTCTATTCGGAGTGTTGATAAAGGGCACTTGAGCGACATAACACTGGATGTGGCGACAATATCTGAATCCCCAGCTTTATTCCTCACTGTAGAGCATTAGCAATGACCCCGTCAATGATAGTTCCGGGCGCGTACTTTCTCGCAAGACCTGCTCCTTCGAAATTGTCTTCCTCCGTTTCAATTCGGCAACAAGCTCTTCGACCGGATGTCGCTGGACAAGGTTGACCAGAACAAAAAAGCGCTAAACTCTGTTAGCTAAGCTTCTTATGGTAGAGCCCCAAGTTAAAGTCCAGCGAGTATCATGCTGTGAAGGTGTGAACGGGGGTCCTATACTTGCCTTTTGCGTAAGGGCGTATGTCATGACAATATTATTCGGGTAGCCTGGTTTCTTGCGAATATATTGTGTTACATCTGCTGGCCTTGTTGTACCGGGCTTATTTTTCAAGCCCCTTAGGTTGGCTTTCACTTCATCCAGGTTGGCCTTTAGTTCAACTTGGTGAGGAAATGCGATGTCGGATTTGGTATACTGATTAAGACCCGTGTCTGCAGCACAATACACCATCACCCGAATATTGGGGTCCGCCTGTAGCCTAGTCGCCACGGTTGGTGTAAGAATAACTTTGAGTTCCACGCTGTCCCTAGTTTGTTCGCGTACTGAAAGAATTATTAGAAGTGATCCGTCACTGAAATAGGAATAGACTGCCAGTGTCCCACCTTTGCATTCTGAGGCAGAAGTCAACGGCTCTATGACGGTATAGAATGGGCTGTCTTTGAAAGTTAAACGACCTGTATGAGAGTGAGAAACCATCCCTGCCGCAAAGCAAACGAACATATAAGTGGGTACCAGATGTGTGTCCATGCGAAGGCATTGGTATGCTCAAAGGTGATGGTCTATGCTGCGTGAGCAAAGGTTGATTGACGGTATGTGGTTGATAGTGTTGGCTGGAGACTGCTTGCGTGGTTGGAGACGTAGGCATTGGCCGACGTGCCGTGGCATAGATGAATTTCCTCAAGTCATCGTACTGTTCAACATGGCCTCCTTGGTTGAGTCTCTCAATGTCTATTGTGTTTCAAGAATAGTTAACAACTTCGCAAATATTATCTTTGGACGAGGCCTAGAAAATATAAGCCTTATAAAACAAGGTATAACTAACAGTCAATGATCCGTAGCTGCAATGAAGCTTTCACTCCTGAGACAGCAAGCCCTTCGTTCCTGAGAATATCCTTGAGCTGCGCGTTGGTCAATGTCTTGACTAGGGCAACAAGGCTTTGTGTATCTGGTAATTGACCAGTAGAGGCCATGGCTAGGGTTTAAAAAGAAGGCTAGCCAGTGACTATATGAGCATGCAGGCGTTATCTCAGGAAGAAAGATGGCTCAAGACAGTTGCGCTATGCTCAACAACGCTGTTCAGAGACATCTCAATACTCCAGGAATTTAAACAGACGGAGACGGGGGGGGGCGTGGTTGCTCAAGTCCTTGACGAGATATTTGAGGCCGTCAAAAGATAATAAGAAAAGTCACTGACTGAGCTAGATGCCAATGACAACCTATACGATCGACCAGGCCGGCGGCGATTGCGGAGGTGAGAAGAGCCTCTCAATGTGATGACATAAGATTATCCACCGCGCTTATGTTACGAAGTCCCCTCCCAAAGAAAAAAAAAAGTGGTGGAACAAAAAAAAAAGGCAAACCGGCAAATAGAGGCGGCGAATCTTGCAAAAACTTTGCACTACACACACTTGATCTCTGGATGAAGATTCCAGATTTCACATAGTATCGATCATTAATACCGCTACATTTGCTTTTCACAAATTTTACCTTACCCATAAATCTCGTTGGCCATTCCGGTTCTGTTGACGAGCACCATGGCAAAGAGCGTCCGGGCGAGTGTCACCAAGCGCAATAGAGCTAAACTCCGAGCCACAGTCTTTGGGCCAGCTGTCGATGCAAGGACCGAAAGACTTTCTGCGAAGCTGCAAGAGCTAGCTTCTCAACCTCGGCCGAACGAGGAGAAGTCAAGCATGGAATTGGATGATGCAACCACAAGTATGTGAAAGTTCCCCGAGATATTCCAACTACAGCTGACGTGTTACGTGCAACTTAGACAACAACAGTGACAAAAAAGCTAGCAACGTATTGAATTCCACTGGAGGTAAGCTAGGTGCAATTTGGTTTTTGCGTTTTTGTTATCGTTTCTGCCCATCAGTTTATGCCAGCTGCCCCTGCTAACCTAGCTCTGTCACAGACATGGATATCGATCAAGGAACTGCTAAGGGTGGCCATGCTCACACCAGGAAGTCGGGACGAATTCAGAAACGTCATAAGAAAGCCCGCTCGTCCATCGTTTTCCGTCCTCATCCATCAAAGGTCAAAGGAAATACGAAGAGACGGTGAAACGCGTGGCATGTTTTGCTTCATTTGTGGTGAAATAGTCGGGCCTTTGTTCAATTATGGAGTTTGGCGTTCTGTGGGAGAGATGGCCATATAACTACCACTGTCTTGGTTGTTTTTGCTTCCCTGTGGCATTTTAGGAAAGGAGCAGAAAACCGGACCGAAGTCGAGCGATAGCATCTGTGGATGCTTTCACGCATCTAATCCCCTGTATTTCAGCCGTAGAAAGTTTATATGAACATAGATCTTAGCTTCGTTAAGGCCGATTAGTATATGGCTACCATTCATCTATAAGCGGATGCTCAAGACTTCTGCTCAAGACCTCAAGGAAACATTCTCTGCCATGCACGAGCGTAATACAAAACTTGTTTGCCGAAGCTGCAAAGCATCAGCAGATGCAGTGTTAGAACAAAGGAGCGTGGCTTCAGTAATGCTCGTGAGACACCCACTATGAAGTGCTATCTAGATGCCTGACAATAACCCCACAAGTCCCAATATAGTAGGCGGTATATGGTATCAATATACACGACTGCCCCCTTGGACGACGGCAGTTACTACTAGTAATCATAGCATAAACCGAATGCCGCACCTCACATGAAGTGGTGGCCTCGGATGTCTGGTTTCGAGTTGTTGCAGGCTATTCATAGGAGAATAGACACTCAATGGCCATCCTACCACGAAGTTGGGCGGTAATCATCGCCAATGTATTAACCCCCTTAGCAGTCTTAGTATTTTCCTCTGGATTTTTCCCTTATAAGCCATTGATACCAGGGCTTGCAAAATTCGAAGATGGCGGCAACTACACTGCAACTCCAAAGGCTTTTGACAAGGTCATTTTCATGGTTGTCGATGCTCTAAGGAGGTATGAATGTTTCGAAGTGCTCCCGGCTTTTCGTGCCTCCAGCTGAATTTACTCAGTGACTTTGTCTACTCTAATAATTCCGGGTTTCTATTTACCCAAAGGTCAGCAATAGTAAATCTCAAACAAGGTGCTGTCCGTCTAACCTATGTTCCTATAGCCTGATTCGATCAGGAGCTGCACTGCCATTCACTGCTTATGCTAGTTCTCCAACTGTTACAATGCCTCGTCTCAAGGCAATAACAACTGGCTCAAAACCATCTTTTCTGGATGTAATCCTGAATATTGCCGAGTCCGATACTTCATCGACTCTAGCATATCAAGATACTTGGTTGGCACAGTTGAAGGCAAACGGAGGCCAGCTTGTCATGTATGGTGATGACACTTGGCTCAAACTCTTTCCCGGGATGTTCGAAAGAGCAGACGGTACTACGAGTTTCTTTGTGTCGGTCAGTAGATGCCAACGGTCGGATTGGTGCATCCAATGGGAGAGCTAAGCTAGTTCGCGCAGGACTTCATCGAAGTGGACAATAATGTAACTCGTCACGTCTCTACTGAGCTTTCCCGTGACGACTGGTCAGCATTCATCATGCATTACCTTGGATTAGATCACATTGGGCATAAAGCCGGTCCTCAGAGGTAAGGTACCAGCCAGCCTTTGGCTTCGGGGAGGGCTAACAAGTACTACATAGCCCTTACATGACAACAAAGCAACAGGAGATGGACTCCATTGTCGCCAATATATATACCAGCATGGAGCAGCAACAACATTTGCAGTCCACTCTTTTTGTCTTATGTGGTGACCATGGGATGAACGATGCCGGAAATCATGGCGGTTCATCCGTGGGTGAGACATCGCCCGCATTGCTCTTCATTTCTCCTAAGTTTCAAGCCTTGGATATCCTCAGACAGTCTCCGACAGACTCGCACAGCGACTTCCAGTATTACCGAACCGTTGAGCAAACAGACATAACTCCAACTTTGGCAGGGCTCTTAGGCTTACCGATACCATTGAATAGTCTGGGTGTATTTATCCCAGAACTTCTCGACTTGTGGGAAACGAGTATGTGCACACCTTCCTTGCTAGTGCGCGCAAAATGTCAAGCATACTTATAAATAGCCGGTTCAGGATCGCAAAGAATCGACGTGTTACTCTCAAATTCCCGACAGATCTTGAGAAAGATGAAGGAGACGTTTCCTAGCCACAGTTTTGATATCAACTCGATGAATATCGCCTGCGATACCGGGCCTTTAGCCGGCATTGATCTGGCGCTCTGTGCATGGTTTCGGGTCAATATCTTGCTTCGAAACTCCGGCGGAGCCGACAAAAATGATCTTCATTCCGAGCTTGAGTCTGCCCTGTTTGAGTTCTTGAAACATGCACAGAAGGTAATTAGTAGCGCAGCTAGCGACTACGATCTGAGAAATCTTCTTCTGGGCTTAGCCATCACTTCTTTCGTTGTCCTGCTTCCTCTCCCTACGATTTATACTCTGCTCTGTAGGTCTTGGTGTGCTGGGGCATTCTTTGCACTGTGTCTCCTGAGCTACGGTGGCATGATGTTCGCTAGTAGCTATGTTGAGGAAGAGCAACAATTTTGGAATTGGATGTTTACTGCATGGGTATTTTGCCTACATGTAAGATCATCCATTCTTCCACGTTGCTCCATGCCCTCCCAGGAGAGGAATACAAGATTCTATCGCCTATATGAGTTGTGTTGTTCCAACTTTGGTGCGTTGGCGCTGCTGCTATCACATAGGGTTCTGAGGCGCTGGAACCAAACTGGTCAGAAATATGCTACTGAACCAGACATCGCTCGGACATTTTTCCCTTCCCATCGGCTAATACTCTGGTTTCTCGTTATCTTAACATATGCCAACACTTGTAGGCATCTCTTAGCCCACCGTCTGTCAAAGCTTTGGCAGCTATATTGTGTCGCAATGGCATTGAGCGCATTTTTGTTGAAGCTGTCATATGTGGCTTCAGATTCCCCTGAACTTCTCCCTGAAGCTTTGCTTGTCCTTTGGGAGAGGGGGGTCGATGGAGGGTCTACTGTCCTCTTTACGCGGCTGGTCGTAGTCGGGATTCTGTTTCTCGTTCCATTCTCGATGTGTATCAGAAACACCCCGCAACTGCGTGAGACGAGAGGCAAGTCGAAATCAATCGCGCCTCGGATATCGGCTAACATATTACAGTGGTCCCGAGTACCGTCTTCCATGACGCCCTCACCCTTTTCTTGGTAACTCAATCAAGAGCTACGAACATTCCGATATTTCTAATACTCAGGGCCCATGCAAGTATACTTGCTACGATGAATCTTTCTGCCCTCGAGCTAGCTATCACATCTTTGATCGCGCAGTATATGACCTTCTTCGCATTTGGAGGTTCGAATTCAATAGCCACAGTCGACCTTTCCAATGCATATAATGGCATCGGCACCTACAATGTCGTCTTGGTTGGGATCTTAACATTTATAAGTAATTGGGCAGGACCAATATGGTGGGTATCAGCTGCTCAGGTTCTCCGGCTAAATCAGGCTAGGCATGATAGAGAGAGTCACATGGCTGTTCTCACATTCCACATGGCAGCCACATTAATGTCGGTTATGGCTGCATGCACGATCCTGAGGTCGCATCTTTTCATCTGGACGGTCTTCTCTCCCAAGTACCTCTATGCAATGGCGTGGGCCATCCTCAACCACTTGGCCGTTAACTTGCTTGGCGAGGTCTTGCATCTAATATCATCCAAACTGGCGAACCATTTAGCAGTGGGGTTGTTATAGTATGAAAGCAGACGGAAGGATTCTACTGAGCCGAAGCCGGAAAATAGGAAAACTGCATATATAGGTTATGCTCTTTAGGATGTATATCTACTAGCTACCGTTCGAGGCATGTCAGCGAGACCCGCTATTTGCACCTATAGAAGGCTATCAAATAGATCATCGATGGCATCCTTTTTCCGCTTCTTCTTTCGCATGCTTTTCTTTTTTGAGCCTACTGTGCTTTCCGGAGCCTTTAGAGACACCTCATCATGGGCTCGACGTGAAACCTCCGGAACTTGAGTCTCAGATAGCAGCGTTGGTGTTGAAGAGCCTTCAGGGCGGCAGAGGATGACTCCCATATCCTCTCTTCGTTGCGCATCGATGCCAAAGATGGGGCCAGTAGAAGCCTTTTCTGTTTGTGATGACAATCTCAGCTCCTTATCGATCCCTGTGGCTTTTGCCAAACGGGCAAGGGTGGCAATCAAGACTGTCCCCAGAGTAGAAAACTGTCCATCGGCAACAACTGCGGAGAATGCTCTGGATATTAAATCAGCAAGTATCCTCGGCGATGTCGCATGAAGCGAGGTTATTTAAATTTCGTCTGTTAATCGTTCTCCTAACTTACTGATAGCACTTCGGCATAAGGTATGTCACCAAATGATGTCTATGTTGATCAGCAGGAGACTCATCACTGCCAAATGGCTGCCGACTGTCGAGAGATCTGGCGAACTTCAAGGTAACTCGTTTCAGGATCGCCAACCATTTCCACCACTTAGTCCCTCGATGTTGATTTTTATTTCGATGAAATATCAAATGAAGTATAGAATGCACCGCATAAATTCTATCCACATCAATGTTCATCCTCTGCCGCAACGACGAGAAGAGTTAATAATTAGCCTGGACGTGAGTTGGGCGGTCCTGTGTTGTGTCAAACGGGGTTTTTGTTGCACAAGGAGAGGAAAACGCAACAAGTAAATGTAGCGCTCTGAATTGTGTAATAATAGACTTTGGTCTCGGAGCCTACTTGATTGTGTAGACTTCCCGACCCGTGGGTTAAGAGTGGTGAATTTGAACGACGATGGATATCGAAATATATGAGAGTAGCCGCCGCTAGGGATTAAATTACTTAGTCTTTGAAACCTTGCCGAGAGTCGACAGGTCTAGCTCCTTCGGGGAGAATACCCGAGTACCGACCTCCTAGTCTATGTAGCAGCATTCAAATGTACTCCATTATCCCCGCTTCACCTATAGCGCCCCTGGATTACAGTGACCTCGTGTGAGGCCCAGAACGCAATTTTCACCGCCACATCGGGAAAACGAGAAGGCCATGCAACGAAGATGATTTGATTCTTCTGGATGTATTTGAAATCACAGATTACCAAACATCTGAAGGATCAATGAACAGTAGGAGCAGGGCACCGAAATCTTACAGAGAAAGGGTTCCAACATTTAGACACAATTCGAGACACCGTACCAAGCCAACCAGGGCCATAAGGTTTTCTCCCATGGGTCAAATGCTGGCCGTCGCTCCAATCGAGCGCTGGTATTCGACATAAGTAGAACAAACAAGCTGAAAACATAAACGGGGAAGATCTAACTTGAAAGGGTGGGATAGCGATTGGTAGGAGTTGACTTTTACCAGTACGCTTTCCAGGGTCGCAAGCGTAGGCACGGCTATGTAGGCAATTTTCCTTGGTTATTTCCCTAGATTAGATGAGAGTCCAGCTGGCCAGTAAGCAGCCCTTGAGTATGGTGAGTTGAAGGGCTTAGGGTCCGCTTTCGTGCACTGATTCATGCCACATCTTCATACCAGGATAAGTACAGGGGCCACTCCTGAGACCATTACCGACACCGTAGGGACGTCTTGGTGCGAATGTTCGGACATATACTACTTCGCGCTCGGCTGCAGTGGTTCCACGATCGAATTGAGAACGGCGACGGCGCTGCTCGTCACGGTACTGCTGACCGACGCGCGGAGCAAATAGTCCTAGAGATGCTGATGAGTGTAGTTCTTCCAAGGCACGCAGATATGTGCTCTTACCAACATGTTCCGCATTTTCAATGCTGCGACGCATTTTGGAAGGGTTGTCTGGTCCAGGAAAGCGATCCTCGGTCCCAGCAAGAGGGCCTGTGCCGGTCTGGAAAATCTGCGAGAATAAGCTTCATCTCTAAATTTACGTCGACTGGATGGCAGGGATGATATGGACCTTTGGTCGAAATGATGGATGTTCCAGCATGACGGAACTATTACGGAACTTTTGCACCAAGCAATCTTTTCCTTGTATAGCTGACCTGTGGTTTTAGATAATCCATAGTCTGCTAGGGATAAGCGAGTACGAACTTGCATAAGACACTTCAGCCACCTTGTCACTGTTGAAACAATTCCTGTACATCCGTTAAAAAATGGACATGTGGTATTTCCTTCAGGCTTGGCATACCAGGTTCGTCCCGCTCTTGCATTGATAAACTACATGGAATTAGTGGTTTCGATGAAGAGAACCAGGACGATACTAACATCAATGATATCAATCGGCTAAGGATCTGTCAGTAGTGGCTGCCGGGGTCGGTGAGATAAACTCACATCTTCGAAATTTATAAAGGCGTACCCGACGCTGGCAGAGACAATGTCAGATACTGAAAATGGCGGCGTTCCATATATTGGCAGTCATACTTGCAGTTATTTGCGAAATCTGCAGGGATGGCATGGGGGTTAGTCGGTTCAAATCGACCTGTTTGAGCTGGGATATCAACTCACCTATCCGTAAGTACATAAAGTCATATTTTCCATGGCTTGTCTCATCCACAATAGCTTTGAGCATAGCCTTCTCTTATTAGAATTTCCAAGTCTGCATATTGACAACAGTATCCTTCCAATGGAGTTTTGCTCACCTGGTCGATTTTATTAGGGATGTTGCGGAGCATTATCTGTGAATGAAGGCGCATGTCAGTTAGCAAACTAGGGAGCATGAGCCGGTGATAATACCGTCGTTCGGACATCCAAGCCGAGACGTATTCTCTCTATATCGACTGCATTTTGGCTGCCCATGCGTAAATCAGGATAGCGGCTAAGTTCGCGGCGAGGAGAGGGGAAGATCCTTTCACCAGCCTTAGACATCCAGTCTATGAGACTAGCATGTTCACCTGGGGGCACTGTGGAACGACCGGTAGGGCTTAATTCCATGAAGGAAGCACGGCCCGGTCTAACTGAGGTCCACGATGTGGACTTTGTGAAAGAAGCCTCCTCGGCTGGAGGGAACTCCTCTCTTGAAGATGTTTCGGCCGTAAATGGCAGCTCGCACTTTCTCTCTTCTATATCTGGCCTGAAAAGAGAGATGTCTAGGATGCAATCCTTTAACGACTTTTATTAGCCACTTGGAAGCAGAGAAAATGGGTTGTCTGCGTACATCAACCGACGTCCCATTGAGGGTGGTCAAAACGTTCTCAGCATCACGCGTGTTGAAGTACTCAATATGAAATTCGCCAATATTTTCTTGCTCAGTTGGCAAGGATGTGAAAGACCTTATGTCACCGAATGTCATAGAGAGGGTTTCAAGTGAGCGAGCAATAGTGTGCTGGTTGAGGTTGGGGTTTCTGCCGTCATAATAGACGGTGACAAGCAGCTGACCCTCGTAGTTAGAAGTCTGTGGCAGAAGAGAAGGCTCAACATGCTTGACATATTCTTTAGGGGCAATCGTAGAAATGTGCCATTCAGGCCTCAGGACTTTGACCTTTTCTATTGCCTTGGTCGCTTCCCGACTGTCCGTGAATGCGACATAGACCTTGCCCATGGAATTGAGTTCTGAAAGCACGGGGCCTCTGAGGGAGCTAAATTCACGACGCTGTCCAACATCCAATCAGTAATGTAACTTTCTATTCACCGATCTTGATCAGGGCAGGATATATATGTTTGTTCTTCCTCCTGAAATTGGCCACTTACATTGAAAAATCCAGCCAATGACATATAGGTAAGATTTTTCGGCACATTTTCAATAACCAGGGCTCGGCTATGGCTCTCGCTGCCGAATGTCTGGTAGTCCATGATATTCGGACGGTTCCTCGTATCAGCCTGACTATTGCCTATGACTCCATAATTCAGTGGGTATCTGTCCGAGGCCTGGAGAGGGCCATTCCTAGCTTCGCATGGATCAATGTCCGAGCTTGCTGTTAGATAGCCAACGCCGGAAAAGCCTCGAGACAGTGAAGGTGCCTTGCTCCTAGATAGAACGTTGTCTGCCGCGCTAATTGGTGTGAAGCTTGCTGCTGTTGGTGAAAGTTGAACACGGGTAGAAGTGTTCGTCGACACCAGAAAGGGGTCAGAGGATGAGCTGGTCTTGTCACTGACGGGTCTGAAACCAAGATAGACATCGTACACTTACGTCAGGTATAACTTTCGTTTGCCAATGTCGCCCAATGGATCACCAACATTGGAGTCAGAGCGAAGGCAGGTAGATCGCATATCCTCAGGCGAATATGCTGTAAGCTTGGTGTCAGGGGACCCATTGGCAGAGCCTATGTCATTTGTAGAAACAGGACTGCTCAAGCTGTGGGACGTATCGTTCGGCCTCATGCTGTGAGGATGTTGATAGAATTCAGTTGAATATAGGATATTTCTGTCTTATCGGGGGTGGTCTGTCTTGGAGAGCGAGCCCAGACTCACACAGTCAGATGTGGATAAAAAGCACCTTACAGCAAACAAACCCAGGAAAACGTGATATTGAAGTAGAGGCCTCGGCCGCCTAGAAGTCTGCCCGAAAAAGCAATCGAACAAGAGATAAACCCTCTGTCACGTCGAATATCGGAAGCAGAAGGAGAGTGGGATAAGACCAACAGAACACGTCTCAAGGGGAAGATGTGGAATAGCACGTCCCACAGAGCGAGATAAACCCCAATAGCATACCGCTTCTAGAGCCTGTTTTTACACATACTGCGACGGGACTGGAACCACGAGCACCATCCCCAATCTAGGCGCCAAGGGTGGAGACTGAACAGTTCACCAATTTACACTCGGTTAATAACACAGGGAAATTGCCCCTTGTATATCTCATCTGTTGTAGAAATCACAAAACATGTGAAATGCTGGTAGGTACTCGGGAGATAGTCAAGATGCAGAGAACTTGTAGTGTCACTCCATTCGAGCTAAAGGGTTGTTAAAGCACTGTGTACAGTAAGAGGTTGAATCCCAGACTCATATAAACTGCCCTGATACCAATGCCCAAAGAAAGAACATGGGAGAAACCTCTCACTTGATCCCCTCGGTTGCGCAAGTGGCCCATGGTAAGACGTTTCAAGGGTTAATATTGAACCAGAGAAGGCTGGTGTCAAATTGCTACTTGATGTTCATACTTGAGAGGAACCCGAACACATCAGCAATCTTCCCTCACGGTTCATCCACCTCTTGATAGCTTGTTTTAAATGGGCTTGGAATACTCAGTATCCTGGCTTTGCAAACGACTCCAAGCCTCTTTTCAGCTCAAGAAAAAAAAAAATGCTAGTATCAGTGATATTTTTCTTGGAAGGTAAAAGGTAAACACAGAGCAGAGTAAGAAACAATAGCCGCCTTCAGGTCTATGCCAGCTGAACATACAGACTACTTCGAAGTCTTTATAGGAGAGAGAATTTGAAACTCTTGAAGTCTACTCGGTGGGAAATCTTAGGGGTTAAACAAACCAGGAATATGAGGAAGCGGACAAAATGATCCTTGGAGGACTGAAAATGGAGACAGTGAAACCCTAGCTGCTCTTAGCAGGTATGAATTTAGTCACTAGACAACTCAAATGCCTAAATTTGATATTCCTTAGAGATCATAGTTCATAGTAGTTCAATCAGAGTACCTGGTAGTAGTAAACTGAGTCTTGAGCGGCGAGCTTCACGCTTTCATTGGATATTGGACATAACTAAGTTTGGCTGTTTCCAAAACGGGCTAGAGCAATGTATGCCCGCGGCCCCATCTCGTGGAATCCCCGCAACGGCTGAGGAATCGGAAAGCTGGCAGGGAAACGTAATATTAAGAGTACAACTTATCACAAATCATGGGGGTTTCAGCATACTGTGTAACCTTACCCGCGCAAACCGAGTGACTCTTCTGTGTCCGCGAATAATTGACTCGCTTCTTGCAGTTCCTTTGAAGTCTTTACTGCCCCCTTTTTCGAGAATTTGACGCGCGTTTTATCTTTGACAGTGAGCAAGTTGTCACGTCACGCCAGTCGATTGGTTTCTGTTATCTACCGCAGCCGACTCCCACATACAAACTCGTCGCAATGCCATCAGTGGCACCATCTCGCAATGAGTCTTCATACCTCCTGAATCAGGTACGCATGGGAAAAGGGTTTGTGCGACGGGCTACTAACTAATACTCATGACCTTCATAGCTTATCATATCTCCCTCAGACGCGGACTACCTCGACCAATTGATTCCTTCCATCAAAGAGTACAGCGTCGGCAACCGAACATCACAACTATCACAGACTTTGTCTAGATTTGCTAGTGACAAGGAGGCTGAGATAGAGACAATATGCAATACCAATCACCAGGAATTCGTAACATCAGTGAATCAACTTTTGCGCATCAGGGAAGGTACAGTCAGCCTGACTGCTGAAATATTGGACCTTAACCAATCGATACAAGCAAGCACCGAGAAGCTGGCTGAACAAAAGAGAGCTCTGGTAGAGTCACGGAGTCACCGGCAGAACATCGATGAGACTTCTAGAGCTATACAGGACTGTCTCGAGGTGTTGCGTCTCGCGAATCAAGTTCATGATCTACTCGCTAAGAAGAATCATTATGCCGCACTGCGCGCTTTAGAAGAATTGCAAAATGTCCATCTTAAAGGGGTGACGCAGTATAAAATCGCGGACATGATTCAGCGCTCAGTCCCAACAACACAAAAAGCAATAGCTGAAGCTGTCATGTCTGACCTTAATACTTGGCTATACAGAATCCGAGAAATGTCGCAGTACCTCGGGGAGATCGCTTTATATCATACAGACTTGCGAAAGACCAGGCATAAGGAGCGGACAGAGATATCTCCATATCTTGGTCAATTCAAGCTCAATTCGGCAATTGAGCTGGTATCCGACGAGAGCGAAGAGTACGATCTTTTGCAAAACGAGGAACTTCAAGTGGACTTTACGCCTTTATTTGAATGCCTCCACATTCATCGATCATTAGGGCATATGGATAGATTTCGAGTTGAATACGCTAATACTCGGCGTCGGCAGAAGGAACTTTTGCTACCAGCCTCCATTACTCTTGTTGATGAAGATGGGGCTAGTCTGCACAATCTTCTCGAAGAAATGGCAGGATTTGCCATTGTCGAGCGTTCTACAATGAAGAGGGTTCCGGACCTGAGGTCTTCTGTTGATGTGAGTTTGTTCTTTGAATGAACGGGTAGATTTGTTGGGCTGAACGAATTGGTGAAGGTCGATGAATTATGGGATTCTATGTGCCAAACAGCTGTGATCCTAATATCGGGGGCTCTCCATGAGGTTGACAATGCTGAGAGCCTACTGAAAATAAAAAATCTCATCGCATTGTTCATGCAAACAATGAATGTCTGTTGACCTCTGAGTCTGAATGTTGGCGAGACATACTAACTAATATGAAAATAGACATGGGACTTTCACGTCGGGGTGTTCGATGACTTTCTTTTGATTCTTTTTAGGAAATATGCCGACCTTCTCAAGAAAAGATTTAGTGACGATTTCCGAGAGGTATGTTTCCTTACAAATCGGTTCGGTTTCTCTATATTAAACCCCGTGAAGATAGTATCGACCGATGATTATATGCCTATGCCTATCCAGACAATCGAGGAATTTGACAAGGTACTGAATGTCAGTTGGTACAGCCCTGACAAGCCAAGGGAGGAGCAAGTGTACGTTCCTACTATCAACTTAAGACACTTAAATCAATCATTACTAACGATAGCGCAGGTTTCCTTGTGTCTTACCATTTTCCCAAATGTATCCCTTATGCTGCATCGACATCCGCAACTTTCTGAACCAGTTCTACTTTTTTGCCAATGACGATTTCTCTCACCCCAGTCTCATTGACGAAACCCTAAGGGATGTAAGTATGCTATATCACATATACCTTCACATTTCTTACCATTCTAGGCACTGGATGAACTCCTATCAGACAAAGTTTGCGACACCCTTGTCGAACGTCTTTCCTCACAATATCTGGGGCAGATTGTGCAGATTCTGATAAACCTAGAGCATTTTGAGCTTGCCTGTCGCGAACTTGAGCTGTTACTCGCTGCTGCTCGATCACAGAATGTCTCCGGTGACGTGGTCACTTTGAACGCTACCGAAAAGTTCAGAAGCAATAAGAAAGCGGCAGAGAAACGTATCTTTGAAGTAGTCAATTCCAAGATTGATGACCTCATAGAAACGGCTGAGTACGATTGGATGGCATCTGTCCCACCCGCAGAGCCTAGCAACTACATGCAAACACTAACACGCTTCTTGTCAAACATCATGAACTCGACGCTCCTCGGCTTACCGACAGAAATCAAAGAACTTATCTACTTCGACGCTCTCAGTCATGCCGCGAATATGATTCTTGTAAGTAGCGCCAAGCGATAAATCCACTGTATATCTGCTAACCTCCGTCAGGCACTCCCTCTCTCTCCGGAGGTGAAAAGGATCAACCCAAACGGTGTAATGGCTCTTGCAAAAGATGTCGAATACCTATCCCAATTTGTTGATGGTCTTGGTGTTCCCATACTCCGAGAAAACCTTGACGAGCTGCAACAGACTGTGCAATTGATGCAAGCAGATAACACTGACGAGTTCTATGATATATCTACGCGGAACAAGAAGTACGGTCGTGTGGACGCTATTCATGGTCCCGTCCTGTTAGAGAAGTGCGTTACCAACCACCATAGCCTGGATACTATTACTAACCAACAAGAAGGATCATACGTACCGTTCAAAGTCCTGTAAAAGCAGATAAATTCTCCACTCTCTCCTCGAGATTTGGCAAGAAGTCATGAATTGTGCTGACTACTTGGGCTACTTCATTTCTATGTACCATCGAGCAAGTGCACCAATTTTATTCAGGAAGAACGTGTTGAAAGATATGTGGGTATGAGATCTGCTTCACGATAACTCCGTAACATTTGCAACGCATAGCTGTTGCTACACAGTACATAGCTGGTCACTTCCTTGACCGGGTAGCGGATACGATGGCATAGTGCCGTTGTACTTATAATTCTCGTGTGCCGCTCAGGCTGTGCCTACTTTTGAGTGCCATCATCACTCACTTATTGGTGTCCAGTGCATTAGTCAAGGTTAAGCCAATGTAGATAACAGCTAAAACAATAGGAAAAGGAAAGAGATGAGAAAGGAGGTGTTGTTCTCGTGATAATATTAACATACCTGCTGAGGTGGCAGATGCGGATATGCTGCATACATTCCTTCGAACATTTGAGGCTGATGCTGACCATAGGCAGCCGTGGGGTCAGACTGCACAGCTCCAGCATACATCGTCGGCGGCCGATACTCTTGATCTTGGAGCCCATGCTGACCCAGGGTACTATAGTCCGGCGGAGGCATGTGATGGGGAACACCGTGTTGAGATGGTGGCAGTTGGCCGGTGGCTCCTGCGGGGCCAGGAACGCCTGCAGAAGCTCCAGCTGTCTGGCTAGACCTCTTCGCATGGGACGTGGCCTCCTCGCGAGGTACTATATCAATGAGGAAATCGAACATATCAGACTTTGATAGTGCTGCTGCAATATCAGACCTCTGTAGTGTACGGCGCTTGTTGTCCTCGGCATGAATCCATGCACGCATGGTCAGTTCAGTGATAAAGATATCACAGCCTTTGGCAAAAAGTATTGGTGCCTCCGCTGATATCATTTTAACCTCTGGGTCAGCCTTCATGACCTTTTTGATGCGAGCAAGTGGTAGCTGGTGTATCTTATAATCATGGTTGTCCGATTCTAGATGGTTGATGATGTGCTGCCAGTATGTTGTAAGTATATCACGGGCGGTTCCTTGCAAGCCTTGGTTGACCTGGCGGAATGTCAGTCATGCTATATTCTCTACCAATGTAGAAAACTCACATTCGCCCATGTCCCGGTATAGAGCTCGGCAACAGGCGCATAGCCTTGCGCAGAAAGCTAGACGTATATAGCATGTTAGCCTTAAGAACGTAGGCGTACTCGTAAGCTTCTGAAGGCGACCATACCGCTGCGCTAGCACCTAAGGACATGCCATCAGCCTTGAGCGTGAATTTTCACGTGTATATGTGTATGTAGACATGAACACGCGTAGGGGATTTTGAGGAATATTTACCATAATGCCCACCATTTCGGGTGTCGTACACAGGCTGCTGCCTGCCCTGCTGTGTTCCAGGGGTTTGTGCAGTTTGCTCCATGATTAAATGACTAGCCCAGCCACTTGTGATTAGATATAAGACGTGCGCAACAGTACTGTCACAGACTCGTCTGGCAAATGATGAAAAGGCGATCTCAACAGGCGCGATAGCGGGGTGTTGGGACGCGACAGACTAGACAGAAGCAAGCCAGCTGGTTTACCAAGAGGGTTAAGGGGTCGAAGTCTTAAAGTAAAGCGACCTAGTGAGCTTTATGAAGTAGCAGATCAATAATGGAGATAGAAAGCGCCAAACAGATGATTGTGCTTCGATGCCTTTGTATGTAGGTAGCGTGCAACCATGGCAAAGACGCGGCGCCAAGCGTAGCGCAGCCCGAGTGACGCTAGCAGAAGCCTCTTGGCATTCAGACCCTGCGGAGGTCGATGACATCCCACACTTTCTACTCTGAACATAGTAGTACTCCGTAAGATCGGTGCTAGATATAGGAGATCCATGATTTCGTTCCTTTCTTTTCCAGTGAGCTTGGATAGTTTTGAGTTATGTGTCAAATTTCACAATCTGGCTCTTTAAGTTCCAGCCAGCATTACGACATTTAAGTCAATGCATTGATTTTTGAGAACACGATTTGATACTTATACATCGGGCTGATCGCTTACAATATCCGGACAGTGTACAAATAACCTAACTGTACAGTCACTAGAAAATGGCATGACTTTATGAGATCATGACGCTCGTATGCCACATTGGTGCTCTGCACTCAAATGTTATACAAAGCAACTGGACCGAGCGACACTAGCTCTAAATAGTCAGGATCTTGCAATATGGGCTATACACTAGCATCCATACTCGACCAACCATTGACATGCAATCTTCACTATGTAGTAACATGATGGATAAGTACTACATTTGATTTTCGACACCTTGAAGTGGACTGTTAGATGGCTGTAGCAGCTCGGAAGAATTTCACTCTACCGCCGGAAAGTGGCAAGTTACAGAATAGATGTGACAAATTGTATATTCACGCACAGTTTGAAGAATATTATCGGCCCTTCTTGTGCATGCAGAGCCAGTTGGTTTGTTACATTAGCGGTCAGCAAGACAATTACTACTGATACCAAAGCCGTTCTAAAACGAGACTATAGGGCAGGAATAATAATAACCCGGTATTGCAGGCATATCTCCACATAGGTACTAGTTGCCAAGGGGTTAGTTAAGGTGAGGTTCCGCCCCACAGCACAAATTTTCCATCGAGCTTGCCATTGAACTTCTTCCACAGGAAAGTAGCCCTGAATTTACGCTATAAATACCTACCTTGTGGGCTTCCACTTTCTGGTCTTCCTTTTACCTTAACTTGTGCACACCCGAGTTACCTGAATCCTCTACTATAGGACATGACAGGTGCAACATGCATTGAACTTACCAGTGTCCCACCACAGGATGAGGTCAGGTTAAATGATGAAGATATTGAACAGTTGCTTTGCGAGGCTGAGGATCGCTTGAGGCCCAGTGATGCTAGGGTCAATGCTTCCAATGCCGATAGCTTGACCAATGTGGGTTTGGAAGCAACCTCAGTTCAGTATGTGTACCCGTCAAAATTTGTACGCCTTCGAAAGCTAATTTGTTGTTGCTCAGTATCCCTAAGTTGGCCCCAGGAGGCTCCCTAAGGCCATATGTCCGTCAACAAGATGATGTTGCAGTTGTGGATGGTGCCATCGGAGCAATGAATAGCCCCAGCGTCAGATCGCCACTCGAGATGCGACCGACTGGATCTAAATCAAAGCCAAGTTCCAAGGTGAGACGCGTTACTTCCCCTTGAACACCTTTGTTGTGTCGTTTGTCACAGATGCTATGAGGAAAATTAATCCCATCGCGTAAGCGCTTGATGCAGCTAAACATCCCGTACTGGGATGCGCTGTGCCTATGAGAGTACACATTTTTGTTTCATAGTTACTCTGAGCATCATCCCCATCATTACTATCCTGCTATTTTGCCTATATGGGTGACGATAGCTAACTTGTCTTCTTTTCAGGACAAACCCACAGCTGGCAGCGCTTGGTTCGACCTTCCAAAGACGGAGTTGACCACAGAACTCAAGAGAGACCTGCAGTTGCTTCGAATGCGCTCGGTATTAGATCCAAAGAGGCATTACAAGAAGGAGGGCGGCAAAGCACGCCCTCCTCAGTATTCTCAAGTGGGAACCATCATCGAAGGTCCGACTGAGTTTTTCAGTAGCCGCATCGCTAAAAGGGATAGAAAGAAGACTTTCGTTGAGGAAGCACTGGCAGCGGAGCAAGGAAACAAGCGATTTGAGGCTAAGTACAAGGACATCCAGTCTCTCAAGCAGAGCGGCAAACGTTCCTACTACAACAATTTGCGAGCGAAACGGAACACGAGGAGCAAGTGAATCAATTGGCTTCTGTTCAGACAGTCATAATGACCAGTCTCTGGACAAAAGAAACCTAATTTGAAGTCTCTGACATTGCCGGAGCGTCTAGTTGTGCCCCAGTGCTCAAATAGTCCTCCCCATCCGCGCTGACTCACTGACCACCGATCGTACCTCCATACGAGCCTGATTGAAAGACATCCGCGATGGTTTGTATAACAAGCTTCTTGAATTGATAGTTACTATCAGTGCGCGAAAACTGGAGGGGGTCATGCGGTGCATACCTGCATGTCCGTGGCGGCGGAGCGGCCTGCCTCAAGGACTTCCTGATGGTCCGCTTTTCCTTCTTGCAAAATCTCACCGAGCTCTGCTACATCTTTCCCATCAAGACGGTGGTCGTCTCCGCGAGGCACTGGTGAGAGAACCGCGTTATTCGTTACCAGGCTCAAAGCTAGGACTCTAATCCCGCAATGCCTGGCAACAACAATCTCCGGTACGGTCGACATCCCGACAAGATCGGCGCCTAGCTGGCGAAGCATACGGCATTCTGCTCGGGTCTCATAACTGAATTCTTCAGAATTCTGGTCATTAGCTCATCAAGATGGACAAAGCTTACCTAGGACCCCCGACGAAGGCATACACTCCCTCATGCAGTCTTCTTTTGCTTTCTACATTTACAATCTTGGCCCATGCTTTGTGGACGTTACAACGCAATTGAAGGTCGTACGCATCTGATAGAGGTGGAAACCGGGGGCCAAACTCCTCCGAGTTCGGACCGCGTAGTGGATGAACCCCCGCCAGGCCAGCCAAGAATATGTGCTAGAATTGAATGTGTTAAGCCTGTGCTTGGATGCTGTCAAGTAGTGATAGACTTACATCATTCAGCAGAACAATATCTCCTACCATATATTCAGGATTCAGTCCCCCGGCGGCGTTGGTTACTATAAACCAGTAAACTATCAGTAGTACATCACTTGGGCTTCGACGAAGAAAGAGCATATAACTGACGGATTATTGTGTCAACCCCCAAGAGTTTGAAGACACGTATAGGAAATGTCACTTGGTCAATGGAATGCCCTTCGTAATAACTTTTGGAAAGTTTTATTAGCAAGCTAAGTAAATAACCCCTTTTGATGGAGGAGCCTCACTGAGCACGGCCAACCATCAACACTGTAGGTATATTTTCACTGAGTAGTCCAAAGACTAGTTTTCCTGCATGGCCAGCAACTTCATAAATGAGCGTAAAGCGTCACGGCTTTCGAATTATGAGGACACGGCTACCTGTTGAACGGGGAAAGTGGGGTATGGAAGCATAATCGAAATCGACTTGAGGCAAGCGATCAATGGTACTTGCGAGCCCTCCCAAACCAGAGCCACAGATTATTGCAACTCGAGGTGCTTTCAATGAATCCGGTAGGCGTTCCTTCAGGAATGAGCATGCCTCACTCGCATGTTGAAATGATGAGCTGCGAGAGGATGCCATGATTGCTTGAAGTATGATTCTCGCTCCAATTTCACGATAGTAGTTGTGGTGGGTAAGCTGGTTGTCAAAAAAGGTCCACCGGGGCCATAAAATATATCTACAGCGTTAGGATCAACTTGACTGTGCTCTTAATTCCCAAGAAAGCACGATTTATCATCCACAACTAGTAGTATCAGATGCCGATAAATAGTCATGTGATCGGATGAGCAAGCAAGGCGGTCAATTTTCGTGGCCAATCAAGGGTGGCCTTCCGCTCGCTATCCTTGGGGCCCTGATGGAAAAAAGATTGAAGGTATTCAAGTGAGTATGTACAAGGTCCCTGCAATACTACGGACCTAGGGATTTGGCGCATTGTTCTTTGTGTTTCATTTATTCAACTCTTCCAGACATTGATTTCAACCATGACATTATCCCTCAACCCTCGGCTACTTAAATGCACTGGCAGGCAGTTCCAGGTAATCTTTCGTCACCCCATCCTACCCTTTTAGCGAAACCATACCAACAGCTTTCAGTTACTAGCAGGTTTTAGAGGTTACAGCACTTCCTCTGGGATAGCCCATCATGCACCGTCAACGAACGATACTCTCCACCCAGCAGGCTCAGCCGAATCCAGTGCACTGTTAGCGCTCTCACGACCACCTTGAACAACTTCGAAGAGCTGACTTGTGTGTTCGTACAGGAAATCGACCGAGACGCAAACGAAACAATGGTCTGAACTTTGATTTATATCTCCAATGAATTGCTCTCGATGACATGCGCTCACTCATGATTAGGAGAGAACGCCTTGAGAGCATTAATGATAAGGCTCGACTTCCCAGGAGCGTCCAAGCTGTGTACCTACGACCCCTCCGGAGGAAGGCCGAATTTGGCCTGCCAGTTTGTGATCTTCAGTTGAGATCTTACAGCGTACGGAACGTCGAATTTTTCGCCGATTTTGCTGTGCGGGCGGCTTATTACCTGAACCTCCCTGTCTCGGGGCCGGTGCCCCTGCCACGAATTGTTGAGCGATGGACCGTTCCTAGAAGTAACTTCGTGCATAAAAAGAGTCAGGAGAATTTCGAAAGGATTACGCTCCGACGCTTGGTACAAATCAAAGACGGCAACCCTCAGGTTGTACAGACATGGCTAGCATTCTTGCGCAAGCATGCTTTCTACGGAGTCGGCATGAAAGCAAATGTTTGGGAACATGAAAGCCTTGGTATATTGCAATTCTTACCTTGCTTTGTCTTCGATTTTGTTCGCCACGTCACTAACTATATCGTGGTCACAGACGTAGCTGCAAACATGGACAGCACTCTTCCAGAAGTCGAGAAGTCGCTTCAGCCTTACCTTTCACAATTTGGTCATCGGCAAGATGCAACATCTTGTGACTCGATTTCGGATATCCTGGACAACGAACGATTCGTTGCATACAAGGGCCCCTTAACTACAGCACGCAAGGCATAAGCACCGTGTCATCCAATACTCTGTATAATATCACATAGTTGTCATCATCTTGTACGATTTTGCCAATTCCCACAGTCCCACTTTTTATAGTAGCTTTGTCTATAAGCCTTCCATAATGAGTTCTTGCTAGGGAAAGATGTATTGGTGTCATGTCTTTTGTTGCGGCTTATACGTGCTTTATGAGATTCATTGAGTAGCCACTAGACAATCTTATTCAACACCTGGGCCAACTAGTAGTCTAGTTAATCACGTGACTGAAATTGTCCAAAGCACGAAACAACCTCGGACATATACCTCCTTGGGACGGGCTTCCATGTGATGAAAAGAACAGCCATGCATGTTAACATATGTCGGTATAGCCGCATCCTGACAATAGCTCATCGGCCTAGTTCGATTCAGCCCCAACTGGAGGTTGTGAGTCGGAAGCCGAGTAGTTTCAGCTTCCGAAGATGGAGTAGTTGCCAAACTCCACGCTCACCATGTTTTGCTAAAACAATCTTCTCCGGGATTCAACCCACAGGTGTACCGCATTTAGGGAATTACCTGGGTGCCCTAAGAGAATGGGTAAAGCTACAAGATGACGCGAGTGATGGGACGAGATTGTACTTCTCCATAGTTGACCTGCATGCATTGACAGTACCCCAAGAAAGCGCCCAGCTGAGACAGTGGAGAAAAGAAGCACTTGCTACTCTAGTAGCTGCTGGCCTTGACCCCGATCGCTCAACCATATTCTACCAAAGTTCTGTATGTGATTAATTGGCTTTAACAGAGTCTCGCGCTAAACAGTACTAGGTAGCAGCGCATGCGGAATTATTCTGGATCCTGTGCACAGTAGCCTCCATGGGATACCTGTCACGAATGACCCAGTGGAAGGTAAGCACACATGACAATTAAAATATTACAGAAAGTGTTGGGGATCTTCTGAGGAGGTTAAAGCCTTAGCATTGACACGGATTAGAGCAAACTCCAATTGCCTGAAGACACAACTCTAGATACTTCAGAGGCCAGGTCAAAGCTGCGACTCGGCCTTTTCTCGTATCCTGTTCTCCAAGCTGCGGACATACTAGTACACAGGTTCGTTATTACGACATTTAGTTTGATCACACACTAACGCAACCCAGAGCTACACATGTTCCCGTCGGAGAGGACCAGAAACAGCACCTTGAGTTTTCCAGAAACATAGCAAACAGCTTCAATCACGTCTATGGCACAGTGTTTCCAGCCCCAGAGTCACTTATATGTGTGTCCTTCATACGATGGTTTCATTGCATGCGGCAGAGAATATTGACTAACTTCAATTTCATCTATTAGCACCTGCAAAACGAGTCATGTCTCTCAAAGAGCCAACATTGAAGATGTCGAAATCTCATGTAGACGAACGGTCGAGAATCCTGCTCACTGATTCACCTGGCCAGATCCACAAAAAGCTTAAAGCGGCGCTTACTGACTCTGAAACAACAATAACTTACGACCCTCTTCGCAGGCCGGGCGTCTCTAATCTTCTGGAGCTTCTTAGCCACTTCGAAGGACGGTCGTGCGAAGAGTTAGTTCTGGAGTTCCAGTCAACCAGTCTGCGAGCACTTAAGGAGAACCTCGCCCATAAAATATCCAATCACCTGCAGCCTGTAAGAGAAAAATATTTCTCGCTGATGGAGGATAAGACTGGCTACCTTGAGGACATATCAGAGAAAGGTGCTCGAGCCGCTCGAGCCAACGCTGAGCTGACCATGACACGAGTCAGAGAAGCTATGGGCTTGTGAGGGTATATTCTGATGCGACGTTCCGTTACGCCTTTTCATTACGTCCTCGCTGTTTGCGCACTTGTTTCTCCAATCTCTAGCCCTCCCCCATTTCTCCAGATGTACATATGATTCCTGGTGAACTAGCCATGCTGGCAGGATTGTTGGCAATGTGATTACCATGCGTTACTAATTCATATCATATTCTGATACATGCTACGAGCTGCCCAAGGAATAACCGACGAAGTTTGCCAAACAGATGTTGTAAGGCTTATATGACTTGACACACTGTGTTCAACCAATGATTGGTGGCGGCTCTTTTAGGCTTCAGGATTTCAGTTTTTCGGTTAGCGCTGGGCCAGAACACATGTTTCATCGCTGCTGCCTATGCCAGCATGCTACATCACTACAATACGAAACAGACAGCAAGGCAGAAGTCTCATTGAGTGCACACAGGCTAATGAGACTCCCCGTACCACGTGCATGTTCAGGGCGCACAGTACATCTCACATGCTCCACTTCAAATGACGACAAATTATATCCCTTGCTACTTCGTTGTATACGTAAACATGTGGGCTATCCGACATTATTCGGTACTGCGGGTGAACGGCATAGCCAATATCTATAGCAATATGCGCAGACTGGTTGTATAATGTGGCGTCCATCCCACCAACAACATTAAATCCATAGCCATGATACGAAGACGTTTTTCATACGGATCTCAGCTTCGAAAACGCTTCTTTTATAACAACCACTAGGTGCAAAAGTTGACTATTATCTTAAGAAACTGTAGACCTAAGTGCAGATTTCAAACATGCATTCACTAGTGATCTGCCCACATACACAGTACATGCAGTATATACGGGTGCTCCAAGGCCGCCATACCAGTTACAGAAATGAAAGGACTACTAGGTAGCTAGAATTCAACTCTATGAGTAGTCATCTAACTTTATTATTAACTCGCACGTGATATATCGGTTACAGCCTTTATCAGTCGATTGTGGCTGCGGAAAAGGTAATCTGATCATGGCGGTGTACACCGCACCTGCCACACACACTTCAGTGTTCTCCAAACCGTCTGCCCAGTTACTCAGTTTACGGCTGAACATTACATAAACATTTTGCGCAACCGAAGAGTTGAGACTGTTAAGGTTCTCCTTTCCCGCCCGAGCTAGCCGAATCAATGCCGGAATTGGCTTGCAAACCAAATCCGTCCGGGCGTGCCGTTTTCGCCCAAATGGCAGTTCCATTGAAACTTCCGTGTCCATACTTCTAACAATAGTATGCCAAGACCCAACACAATAAAGAAGCAACTGTGGCGTAGAATAGGGAGTCTCTTAGCTTACACTATTTGGGCATGACACTTGGTAGAAGTTTAGGCTAGGTAGCTTGTACAAAGTACTATCTTGGACCAATGATGGGATCCTGTACTCCGTGTACAATACTACATTGTATTTTAATTGAATCACCCTGTATGCTTATGCGTCTCTCTAGAAGAGATCCGGAATTAGTATCTTCTTGGACCCACAGATGATGACGACAGCAGAATAATACTGTCCTGTCCGAGAGCTCAGCCTAGAATAAGTGGGGCATGGAGATCTGGGCCCGAGTCAATCAGCCGACTAGTCCCGGACCAACAACTGAAACCCAGTGTGCCTACTGCCTACTACGTATTATGTTCCAATATAATAGCAATATGCCCCCTCTCCTCAAGCATGTGTGGAGGTCTAAAACAGAAACTATCCGTTTTCTCATTATTAGATTTTCTCTATTGCGATATAATATCGTCACAGTCCGCTTCAACCTCCTATCCTATCCCTCTAACCAACGAACGCCGGAATAATCACCCTGTACCAGCTCATTTCCAGCACCATTAGTGAGCCCACACTGGAATTTTATTCCACAAAATAAAAGTCGCAACTTTGCGGCACCTGAGCGATTTTGAGCCCGGAGAAGAAAGGATAGAAGGGTGGGGGCCACAATGTGGAGAGTTCTGTCTCTCTTGCTTGCTGTGTCTTTTGTTCCACTCGAGACAGTAGAGGCCTTGATACTTCAGCGAAGAGAAGTGCCCGCTGTTGTGACCCTAGATATCAAACGCAACGATGTGTCAGATCCTGTAATGAGGGACCGCGCAAGACGCAAGCGAGATACAACCACTGTTTCTCAGGCCCTGGATAATGAGGTATGCGAAGGATCCTGGATTTGTACCAGTGCGTGTTGGCTTACATGTCAATGAAAGGAAACGCTCTATTTCTGTAATATAACCCTTGGAACGCCGGAACAGAGCCTACGACTGGTTTTGGACACTGGGAGCAGTGACCTTTGGTGCAACGCAGCGAATTCTACGCTTTGCTCCTCGTCGACAGATCCGTGCAGTACATCCGGCACTTACGATTCTGACAAGTCTACAACGTACACATATGTCTCGTCTGACTTCAATATATCCTATGCGGATGGAACCGGTGCGGCTGGTATTTACGCAACCGATACTCTCCATATAGGTGGTTCGACGTTGGAAGATTTCCAATTTGGTATCGGGTATTCATCAAGTTCCTCCGGTACGTGGAATTCCCAGTTACAAAATTCTCATGCGCCAACAGGCGCTCGTTTTTGTGTATCATCAACTGACTCCTGTCTATAGAGGGTGTTTTGGGCATCGGCTATACTTCGAATGAGGTCCAAGTCGGCCGCTTCGGTGATAGCGCCTATCCTAACCTTCCTAGGGCAATGGTGAAAAATGGACTGATAAAGTCCAATGCCTACAGCCTATGGTTGAACGATCTAGATGCCAATACGGGTTCCATTCTTTTTGGAGGCGTAAATACGAAGAAATATCACGGTGAACTACAAACCCTTCCAATTCAGAAGGTTAATGGCATCTATTCCGAATTCATAATCGCTCTTACTGGAGTCGGCTTCACTTCGGGATCAAGCAGTCGCAATTACTCGTCAGATGCCCTTCCGGCTGCCGTTTTGCTTGATTCTGGTAGTTCCCTTACATATCTTCCAGATTCCATCGTCGAAGACATCTATAATGATTTCAGTGTTGTGTACGAACAATCTTCTGGTGTTGGCTATGTGCCTTGCAGTCTGGCACAAAACAACACTAATATCACCTACACTTTCTCATCGCCTACTATTGCTGTTGGGGTAAACGAGCTTGTTCTCGACGTGGGCGATCTCTTATTTCAGGACGGAGAACGCGCTTGTGTCTTTGGAATTGTCCCCGCTGGTGATAGTACCGCTGTCTTAGGGGACACCTTTTTACGCAGTGCGTACGTTGTCTACGACCTAGCGAACAATGAGATTTCCCTCGCCAACACTAACTTTGATGCGACGGGAAACGACATCTTGGAAATTGGAACAGGGGAAGACTCTGTGCCCGGTGCTACTAAAGTCGCTAATCCTGTCACGACGGTGGCAGTTGATGGCTCTGGTGCAAGGATTGGTGGCCCGACTGGTGCAACTTTCACTAGCATTCCATCCGCAACGAGTGGAGGCCATGCTACAGCAGGGTTGATGGGTGCTACAAAACTTATAGCTTTTGCTGCTGCTGTGATTGGGTACATGCTGACTTTCTAACCTTCCTTGATGCACATTCACTTGGAGGTGACTTACTGAACATCTCCTCTTTGTATGCTGGCTTGCCCTTCTGTACATGCGCCAGTGGCCTTGCCTACTCGGTATGCTTTTAACTCGCGATACCCATGGCTTTTGATTTCAGACGCTTATTTTCTGTGTTCCTGGTGGGACACTTTATCATATTGTGAAACATATTGTACGGTCTCGGAAGGATCCGAATATATATTATGATTATGAGTATGGATCGCGAATTCGATGATTAAAACAGACTATATTTTGGCGATACAGTTGTTTATGAGACTTACTGGTCCCTGTGGTAAGAGTAGAGACAAATCAACATCTTCTTTGACGCCCGGGGGAGGCGCAGGTCTGTGACTTTCCCCGTTCGTGTAGTAAATGATATCAATAGGCTGCGGGAGTCTCAACATGAGGCCTAATAGATTTAACACGGTATACTATAACACAATGTATACAGCTCCCATGTAATTATTGTGTTCATATCCAACAATTCCTTTCTGACCTGCCCAATGTCACCACCTGGGGCATCCATACGAATAATGGCACCGGTCAACATGGATAACCGGTTTAATCCTTCATCAACGGATGGTATAATAACCTTTTATTGTATCAAAGGATCGCACCCAGGCTGCCCTACATCATGATAGGGTATTTGCTCTGAATCCCCATTAGCCACTTACTGCACAGTGCTTATTCCCTTCTTATCGATAGAAGAGTATACAAGTGAGTCCTCGGTCATCCAATTGACATGACTGCACTTTGGTCCCCACTTTGTATCATGCTGAGCCAATGTGCTTTCACTTTGAATCAGAGGTGAGGTTGACCACAGGTCGTAGTATTCCCCAATCCAAGTCTCTGTACTATAACCATACATGGCTCAGAAACCTCATGAGTGCTCTTGTTCAAAGTCCCATCATTAGCTGGCCAAATACTGATGCACAAATCATCCACTTGTAGATATTGTGCTGCCAAGTCACGGCACAAAGCCGCCACACGCTCACCCTGTGAATGGTCACCACATTCGAGCATTACAAGTCTTACCTTCATCTTGAAGGAAAGTGACAAAATATGGTAGTAGAAGATATCCTCCTGCCGGTGCAGCGGTATTTTCAGACCGTCACCGAACACTGGAGGGACCAATGCAATCCTCGGCTCGTACATCCGAACACTTCGTGCAGTGGTCCCATTACCATATGATTTCTCAGATATATACGGTGGGTTTGATATGATCACATCGAGATGGCACGCTGTACGCAGCGTTGATTCGGGAGTATCGCCCAGAGCTTGCTCCACATTCGATGCATCAACAGGTGCACCGCAGAGGACATTGCCTTTCCTGAAAGTAATATCCGCCATCGCTCGATCCAACAATTTTCCTTGTCGGATATTGTATATTAAATTCCTTCTCGCCAATTCAATTGCTGTAGTACTAATATCAATCCCGACGATGGACAAGCGCTGTACATGTGGCGCGACAAGAGCATGCAAAAGGAGGGATATGCATCCTGTTCCCGTGCACAGGTCAATCACACGTACAGATATAGCATGAGGGTTGAGCAGAGATTGACTGGCATTGACGACATTGCGCGAAATCAGGTTGGCAGCGTGAAAGGTGAATGTCTCAGTTTCGGGCCTAGAAAGATAATTACCCACTTAGCACATTCTATACAGGAATGGTCGATCATGTACAAAGTACCTAGGTATCAGGACTTCTTTCCTACACAGGATGTCCAAGTCCCCAAAGGGCTGGTCACCAAGTATGTACTGGAGAGGTTGGCCTCGAGACCGTGCCCGGCACATTGATCTCAGAGTACTTCGCCATCCCCGGTGAAGTTTGGGTTTGGTGGTCTCAATTCTTAAAGGGTTTGACTGGGCTTTAGAAACAGCCCGATTCCTCATCCAGCCCAATTCACTTTTGGCCAGATCAAGGGAGCGACATTCCTGTAGAAGCAATGGAAGAAGATGATCCTGTCGATGTGCATCCAGAATTGTTCTACTGGGTATTCGTGGCATAGCTCCCTTTGGTCCAACTTGGTGTGATGCTTCTCGCATACCATCGGGGAGACTGTGAGGGTCGGGTACCTTACTGTTATATGTGGGGCAGCTGTCAGGAACCAATTCTGAATACTCTAGATTCAAACTACTCAGCTATCTGGTAAAAGACGAGTATTATGAGCTTATCAGCATAGGACATATATGATTCATATAAACCAAAGATTGATTTAAGGTTTTCTATGTCATTATACCAGTCTGCCTTGGCTACTATCAGAATTTAATCTAGTATACTTCAGATAGTAAAAAGACTAGAACTTTTTGTCAGTAAACTTAGTATAAGAGCCAATCAAATCTATCTAGATTAGCATATATAAACTAAAATATTAAACATAAGAAGAGAAAGAAAGATATATAAGAAATAATATACAAATAATAAAAATAAGTAAATAAAGCAAAATAAACATAACAAATAGATTTAGTACTCTATAATCTGGCTATATATCTCCAAATACTGCTTGATATTGTATTATTTTATTAGAATAAGCTATTCTCAGTTAGCAGAATATTATTATGTATAATGTTTAGTATAAAATTATGAGTCTCAGGTTCTCAGCCCCAATGAGTTACTGTAATAATTATGTAAAGGAACTAAAATAAATAAAATTCTTTATATATAATTCTACAGTCTAAAAAGGTAATCTTAAATTCCCAACAAAGTTTACATAATTTTCTTAAGAAATTATTGTTAACTACTCTATTTTTCACTTATAAATAAAATAATATTTACAAGTAATTTATAGATTATATAATAAAATTAACTAGATCTTATAACAGAACTATTAATAATATAAATATTATCAATGTAAACATTATTTATGATAATTATAAAAATTATAAGAATTTAAATATTTATAAATATGTTCTTAGATCTTGGACTTTAAGACTACAGGTATTAATAAGAATTTTAATAATTAATCTATTTTATAATTCTGTTTTATAGGTTTATTTCAAAATAATTAAAGAACATAATATTATTTATAATAAATTAAATATCATTAAAATCCCTGCTTATAATCCTTTATAAAATATTAAGTCAAAAATCTTTTTTTCATTTTATAATATTTTATAAGACTTCTTAATAAAATTTCTTTATAATATGTTTTTTAATTTTTTATACAGATTATCTTTTTCTAGAATTTCTTTATAAATATTGAAATAAGAACTTCTTCATAAGTATTTATTTATTAAAAGTTTTTATAAGTCTTATAAAATATTATTTCTTTATATATAAAACTCTAAAGTTTATTATAAAATCATGAATTTCTTATAAAGTTTTCTCTAAGACTCTACAGTACATATATCAATAATAAATCTTTAATAAATCTTTATTTAAAATTATAAACCTGGACTCAGGACTCAGGACTCAGAATTCTTAATAAATTCTGATATAAATTTTTCTATTTAGAATTTTTAATCCTAGCTTTCTTTCTTTCCTTCTATGAAATTTCTTGATTAAGATTAAATTAATAAATAGAAGAGATATTGCAAAATAACTTACATAAATAAATAATACTAGTTTTTAAAATCTATAAATTATAATATTTTTTTATTCTATAGCTCTGGTAACTTATAGATTATTTCAAATTTATTTAAATTTTATTTATATATTTTTACAGCTGATAATAAAAACTAAAAAATTAATTTCTAATTTTATTAAATCTTACTTTAGTTTATAGATAATTTTGTTCTTTCCAGAATTTATCATATTTTATAAATCTATTTTTAAATATTTCATATAAAATACTTTTTTTATTGATAATTTTCTATAGTTTTTATTTATATTAAGCCTCGTGGAGGTTAAGAAGTAAATTACAATATTTTTATAAAATATTTAATATAATTGTTAATTTATAATAAAAGATATTTATTCTTAATAATCTATTTATTTGATTTATAATAATTAATATGATCTTATAGGCTTTTATCTTTCCTCTTTATAAATAAAATTAAAATATTTATATATAATTTTCATAAAGTCTTTTATTCTGCAGGAAATTATTAGTTTATGAATTAAGGTTATATCAGTTTACAATTCTCTTTAAGTTTAATATTAAAATTCTGATTCTAATATATAAAATAGATATAATATTATTCTTTTAAATGAAGATTTTATTTTTTGTAGAAATCTTGTGTAAATCTTTATGAAACTAGTTTTTATTTTAATTTTAGCCTGTCAGGGAGGACTTATTTAAATTATAAAAATTAATTTTTATAATTATTAGTTTAATATAGAGAATACTTATTATAAATCTTTAATATATATATATATATATCATAATTCTAATTTTATTAATTTTTATATAATTACTCCATGTAGCTTATACAGGATATAAAAAAACTTTAAAAAATAATATCATTAAAATTATAGAAGGTATCTAGTATTATATATTTTATTACATTATTAGAATTCTTTATATAACGTCCTGTGTAGCTTTCAAAATTAATTTTTATATTATATTTTTAATCTTATTTTTAAATAGGCTATTAAAAATAATTATTTATAGATTCTAATATTTTCATTTTATTAAATTAAAGATTTTATAATATATATAATTAATAGCTAATTATAAGGAAGAATCTTAAGTAAAATCTAATAGTTTGAATAAAAACTTAAAATAAATCTTAGTCTCTGGATAAAAATCTAGATTTATTTAATTCAAAAATTATTAATTTTATAATGATTTTTTAAATAACACCCGTTATAAACAGTAATTATAGATTTAATAAAAATACTTAAATAATATTAATAATTTAATATAATTAATTTATTATATATTTATACAGATAGTAACAGCTATAAAAGTAATATTAATATAATAATTATTATTAAATTCCATAGTATTTACTGTTCTGTAGACTTCGTAAAAATTTATAATAATATTATTATAAAAATATTTAATATTAATATAATTTTAGCTTTTATTAAATAACTGTATTTTATAAATTATATTATTAATGACTATAATCTTATATTTTACTAATTTAGTATTTCTGAAAACATATAAAATAATTATTTCTATTGATAACTAGATTATTATCCAGGTTTATACTAATTTTTTTAAATTTTATAAATTTCATAAAGTATTATTATATAGATTAATTAATTCTAATATTTTAACTGGATGATTTACCTGTAATAATATTTTGATTACAAAAGAATTTCTAGTAATAAGTATATTAATTATCTTATTAAAATAGATACTGAGACTACTATATAAAAGTAAATTATTAATATTAAATATATTAATAAATTACTTTTATTTTTAATATATTATACACAAATATAAAAAATCTAGTAAAAATTAATCTATATAACTTGGATATATAATATATTTTTTGAAATTTATTTTGTTTACAGGCTTTACCAGGTATAAAGTTTTATTTTAATATTAATATAAACTAGAAAGATTACTTTTATAAGTTATTTTAATATTATTAAAATTATAAAATCAACTAGATACTCATATAAATAAAAAATAATTAATTAAATATATTTTATCTTCATGCATACAACATACAGATATTCATATATATATAAATATTTAAATATTCTATAGATAATTACTGATAAATATTAAAAATTAAATTCATTAATTTAGGGTACAAAGTAATATAATTCATTATTATAATATTCCTCTAGAGGGCAGTGATAATTTTATTTTTTTACATATTTATTTTTATAATTATATCTCTCCAGCTAGTTATACAGAGGAGGATATTATAATAAACATATCTACACAAAAATATATAATTAAATAGATCTTATAGTTTCTTGCTAAAAATATGTTCTGTAAACAAGATCTCAGGCAGATAAATATTTTTATATAAATTAAAAAATTTTTGATCTACGTGGCCACGGCACACAAAGATAAGTATAAAAGAATATTAGAAAATTATAAGTATTTTGTCTCATATAAATATCTTTATATATATATTATATAGTTTTAGTTTTAAATAATTTTAATATTTTAATTCCTGTATAGCTGCTCTATATAACTTATATAAAATATAAATAAATTATTAAATACAGTTATCTGTAACTTCTAATATTAATATCTTATTAAATACTTTATAATATATATAATTAATAATTAATTATAAAAAAATATTAAATAAGATCTAATATTCTCTCCTTTGTAAAGACTTAAAATAAATCTTATTTAATTTTTAAATAAAGATTCAGCTGACCTACTTAATCTTAAAATTATTAATTTTATAATAATTTCTTTTATAATAATTTCTTTTTTAATAAAGTCTACTATATATAAAGATTACATAATTAAAAAATACTCAAGTAGTATTGATAATTTAATACCTTTATATAAATTTATATGAATAATAATGATTACAGAGACAGTATTAATATAACAATATATATAAGATTATAAAATTAGCTGCGTAGTAGACTTTAATATAATATATATAATATATACTAAAGACTTTATTAACATTAATATAGCCCTGGCTTTTATTAAATAATCATATTATATAAATTATATCAATAATTATTATTTTCTTATCTTATTAATCTCTATATTCTCAGGAGTATATAATATAACTATTTTTATTAATAATCAGATTATTATCCAGGTCTGTATTAATTTTTTTAACTATTATTAATTAGATTAATATATTCTATAAAATATTATGATATAAATTAATTAATTCTTATATTCTAATTTAATAATCTTCCTGTAATAACTTCCTGGTTATAAAAAGATTTCTAATAATAAATATATTAATTA